CAGGAAGAGTCCCCTCTTCTGGGGCCGGGGGGGTTTTGGGGTTGGGGAAAAGAGTTCCACCCCCCGTCCTCCTTTGCCGGTGGGTTTTTCCGGGGAATGGTCAACCCGGGGCAATTTAAATTCCCCCCCCTGGTTTCAAAAAAGTTTTAGGGGGGGGGATGGGTTTTAAAAGGATTTTGTTGGAACGGTAAAAAGGGAAAAGGGTTAAAAAGAATTTTTCGGGACCCCCCCCCCCCCCCCCCGCTCCCCCGCCGCCCGCTGTTCCACCCCACTGCCCGCGCGCGTGCATCACGGCGGTACCACCCCTGTGCGGTTTACTTCCGCGTACCACCCTGCATGGTACACAGCATCTTGATTTCGGTGGTTGTTTTCGGGCACAGCGTTATGTGGTGGCAATGGGTAGGCATTCTGAGTGTGTTCGGCGGGTTGACGTTGAGCGTTCGGGCGAAGTACGCCGCCAAGAAGGGAAGCGTGGAAACGCGGGCGGACACGAAGGGAGCGGTGAACGGGTCGGGAGCGGCTTCGTCCGGTGTTGCTGGAGGCGACAGCCGGAAGAAGGAGCGGTGAACAAAAGTATTGTAGCGCGCCCCGCTGGTTTTGTTCCTGTTTTACAGCGGCCAGTATCTGCTGCCTGCCCTTGAAGGTAACCGACTGTTGCCTTACTTGTTAGATAGACGCCTTTTCCCGTTCCCCCACACACACTATGCTTGTGGCCCCCGTTATTAGTTGTGTAGAGTTTCTTGCTATAAATAGGGAATTGTTGCTAGCGTTGAAGCCTTCTGTTTCGGAGAGAATCAAGGGTTTGTGCGTGGACAGAGAAGCGACAGTTTCTGTCTCGAAAAAAAAAAAAAAGTTGTCCGGACCTTAACTTTTACGATGGGGTCAACGTTCTGGTCCTTCTACCGGATTGGTGTTCCTTGGTTGTCTTCGGTGTGTGTGTAGTGACTGATGTGATATGGATTGATTTTTGTTTTTCGTGTTTTTCGATGAATACACATATCGTCCAAGTTTAGTTGTCATGTTGTCGCTTTCGATGTTTTTGCAGCTCTTCCTGTAATGGCATGTGGCTGAGATGGAGGAGTCGCTCTCCACCGGTACATATAGAATGTAGAGGGTCCGAGCGCAAGCTGCGTCCGGAGTGAAGCGAATGAAGGGCGGCACACCCGTTCGTTGAGATGCCGGGAGAGGCAGCCGACGAAGTCAATACCTTCACTTATGATGCAGTTTTTGTTTGTTGTTGTTGAATGTATCAACAGGGGGGAGGGGGGGTACTCGCAAGTCAAGTGTAACATACAGGTTTTCGCGCAACACGCACTTTCGTCGGTTGAAGCTGAATTAAATTTTAGAATCTTTCCCGTATGCAAAGCTACGTTAGTCGTCGGAAGGTTGCCTTCCCTCCGGACTGTAGTCCCGGAACCTAGCCAATTCGCAACGGGGGTCGGGGTTAAGGCCACTGAACCCCCACCCCCCGCTTCCCTGTCGTCGAATTAGACCCGACTGGGTTTTGTTTTGGTATGAGGGGAGCGTTGGAATTGTGTGTTCATGTGGGGACCTCGTGTGCCGTGTCTTCCGAAGCTATATCTTTCCTGCTTCAACCGCGGTAATGGGAACGCCGTGAGAGTTTTAAGCGTTTTTCGTTACAAGTAGTTGAAAATTGTGTTTAGTGTGGGAGTCGTTTTGTACCGTTCGAATCTATTCCTTTCTTGTGCTTAACGGCAACTGTTGAGTACCATCATCGTCCGAAGTCCCCCCCCGCCACACAGGGATATTCGGAGTAGTACATGAATTCGGAAGGTTGGTCGAGGGGGGTCGAGGTGAACAGACAGCGACATAAGTACCCCCCCCGCCCCGCCCAGCCGCTGTCGTTGGGTTGGCCTGAGGTTTATTCTACGCGAGCTTTACGCTCAGCCTTCCTTCCGACGATTGATTGTAATAGTCGCGTCGTGTCGCCGTGGGGGCAGTCACGGTTTTTATTCTTGTAAAATACAGGCGTAGAGCCACGCAAGATGGATAATCCTCTTTTGGGGAAAAGCATTTCAGATTATTACTAGTCTAGAAGGTTTCGCAGTTTTTCTTTGCATTCGTCGGATAATTATTTGTCTTGACATGCTGCCCAAAACGGGCCTGATCGGCGTTGAAAGATATAGGCACATGACTTCAGTTGTATAGCAGCGAACGCTGCAAGCCTTAGTTGAGTGTACGTTGTCGCGGAGGCGCACTTTCAACGAACGGCGTCTTCGTCAACAAGGTATGATGGACTAAAACATATTTCAGGAAGAACAGGGCAATAATCATCACAATTGTCGCCGTTGCGGCGCCGAATAAAGGTGTTCGACAAATATTCGTCATCAAATACCAACGCCTCTCTGGCGAGGCAGTGGTGCAGACCTTGCTCGCTGCTGCTGGTGTGGTCGGTGCAAGCAAGTGTAGACTGAGGCACGCCGCACAAGACCGTTACAAGCATACATACCGTATATATATGACACAAGATAACACACGCCCTTGACCGATTTTCAAAGCTCCATTTCTCAACAGCAGGAAGAATCACGGCGCCGAAAACGGCGGCGGCGTTGGAACCGTCTCGTGGAGAGCTTTTCGAAAATGCATAATTTCGTTTAATAATGTATCCGCTTCGTCATGGAGTAATCGAGCTTTGAAGTCGGTCCAGGGGGTGTGTTATCTTGTGTCTTTCGGGCAGCACACACAGGGTACATCACCATATTTCGGATCGCAGAACCCCCCGCACCATCCCCATGTCAAAACTGCTCCCTCGCACCACAACTCATCTTTCTCTCTGTACTGGCCCGCAGGTATGATGGCAGTACTCACCAACAGCTATGAGACAACTCGTATTAGTGGCATTTGCCTCTGCTGTGTGTGCGTGCGCCCACGCTGTTTTCGGGGCACATGGTCTAAGTTGTCTACTGTAGAGTTATAGAGCTGCTCACAACATGTTTGCTGTATCTACCCTGCGGCCTTCCCTTTCTTGTTGAAGAGTTCCGATCCGCGTTCACACATACGTTCCTCTGCGGCGCCTGACGCATGCCTTATCTCAACCTCTTACCGCCCGGGGCGGCCCGGGCCCGGGGGTCCGGGGGAAAGACATGCCGGCTGCCGAACTGGCCGCCTTTCTTTTTCTCCCTCAGATGCATTTCATTGGCCGACGACCACAGCGCTGCCTACTTGTGTTTTGGTGCTGGTTTCTCACCAGCACCAGCCCGCACACAGCGGTCGCACCCACCACGCGAGCATGGCTCTCAAGGCGTACCTCACCAAGGCCACAGAGGGCGGGCCTGAAATTTGTTGCCAACCTTTAGGAGGGTTGAAGAAAACCAAGTGGTTTTGACGCTGGCTCTATTGCCGTTTAATAAGATGGGGTGGACATAAACCGCCGTTGCGGCTGGGTTACAAGTAACCCTTTTGGGTTTACAGGCGTCCTGACAGATCACTGATTGATCATTTGTAAATGCTGGTGTTGTGGCATGCCCCTCCACGCCAGGTGTTGGCAAGTCAATAGGTAGGTGTGTCTATATTATTCGCATCGACCGCGTACCCGGTGACCAATGAAAAGACATTACAAATTGCCAGCGGGTTTAATAATCAAGGTCTATAGAAGCCGAAATCAGCCGCTGACTAGTCTAATGGTTTGATTTCGGCTTCTAATAGAAGTTAGTCGTGGGTTCAAGACCCAGGCTGGACACTTTGAAGTGGTTTATTCATGAGACCCTGGATTCTCTCGGCCAGAGTTTTGGTGACAAGTAGGACTCGTGGACGTTGGAACATTCTGCAGGATGTGGGTGGCGAGTGATATGAAGCGAAATAAAGATTGGACGGATAGTAGCGCTGGCAAGGGGAGTCACCCTCCTCGGAAGTGAAAGTGACGGGGCTCACGAACCCCACGACTAACTTTTATAGAAGCCGAAATCAAACCATTAGACTAGTCAGCGGCTGATTTCGGCATGGATAGATTTC